ACTGGGGAGGCTGAGCCACTGGACCCTACAGGACACCTACTACACAAAGCCACTCTACAAATTCCAGAAGAAATAGCCGCTCTACCTAATACATAGAAACAAACACCTGGAAGCAGCAAAAATGTGGAGGCAAAGAAACATGTCACAAAGGAAAGAGCAGAAGAANAAGCAGCCAAAATGTGGAGGCAAAGAAACATGTCACAAAGGAAAGAACAGAAGAAATCTCTAGAAGAGGAACTAAATGAAATAGATCCAAGCAAGCTAACAGATACAGAGTTCAGAATTTTGTTTATAAGGATGTTTAAGCATACTATTAGGGAAATAACTGAGAAAATCGATAACATAATAAAGTACCAATTTGAAATGAAGGCTACAAGAACTGAAACGAAGAATAATTTATAGGGAATCAACAGTAGAGTAGAGGACACTGAGAATCAAATCAGTAATTTGGAACATGAGGTAACAAAAAACACCCAACCAGAAGAGCAAAAAGAAAAAAGAATCCAGAAATATGAAAATAGTATAAGGAGCCTCTGGGACAACTTCAAGAAGCCCAACATTTGTATTATTGGGGTGCCAGAAGGGGAAGAAACAGACCAAGAAATTGAAAATCTATTTGAAAAAATAATGACAAAAAACTTCCTCTACCTGGGGAAACAAATAAACTTACAAGTCCAGAAAGCACAGAGGGTCCCAAACAAGAAGAACCCAAAGAGGCCCACAGCAAGACACATCATAATTAAAATGCCAAAGGTTAAAGACAAAGAAAGAATCTTAAAAGCAGCAAGAGAAAAGCAGTTAGTTACCTACAAGGAAGCACCCATATAACTGTCAGCTGATTTCTCAACAGAAACTTTGCAGGCCAGAAGGGAGTGGCAAGAAATATTCAGTGATGAAAAACATGGAACTACAACCAAGATTGCTCTACCCAGCAAAGCTATCATTCAGAATTGAAGGTCAGATAAAGAGCTTCACAGATAAGAAAAAGCTAAAGGAGTTCATCACCACCAGACCAGCATTACAGGAAAAGTTGAAGGGTCCTCTTTAAGAAGAGGCTAATGAACAAAAGAATCTGACGAACTAAATAGATCTAGAGACATTGACGCATTCAACAGACAATCATATCTCAGAGGAAAGAGGGAAGAGGGGCGAAGGGTGGGAAGAGGTTAACCAAAGAAGTTATATGCATATATGCATAACCCATGGACACAGTTAATAACAGGGTGAAGGCCTGAGGAGGGGGTGGGAGTGAAGTGGAGGGGGTCAGTTGGAGGGGAAAAATGGGACACCTGTAATACTCTCAACAATAAAGATAAATTTAAATAAATAAATAAGCAAATAAAAATACTATGTGTTGTTAAGGACATAGTTATAAGATTTTCTCAAATTTTATCTGGTAGAATTTAATAAGAAGCCTTACTTTCTTTGAAAATAAAAAGAAATAAATGCTCACCTTTTCTATCTCGAAAAGAGTATCAGAGTAAACCACCTACATATAGGAGTAACAAAAATAACCTTTACAGTTTTATAGCATTAGTTTCCAAATCATTTTATTAACTCTCAGAACAACCCTTGAGGGTATTTTCATATTCATTTGAGGCTTAGAGAAGACAAGTAACTTTTGCTCTAGGTTACACAAACATTACTGTTTGTGTAGGGTACACCAAGAAACCAAACACAATTTTCTAAATAATGACTCCAAATCCATTACACTTTCCATTTAATTACATTGTCTCCTTAAGGTTTTACTGAAGCAAACATACATAGAAATCTATAAAAACATAACCTATTTGTAAAGCTTGAGAGTTTTGCTTTAAAACAATGTGGATTCTAAGCAAAATAATAATCATTACTTAATAAGCTTTGAAGTACTAACCAGAAAACCCCAATGTTTCTGCTAATTTTCCACAATCCCCCACCATGAATTACAAGGCTACAATAACTTCCTAAGAGGGTCTCCTAGAGGGCTTTCTTTGTAGGAAACTAACATGACAGTGCAATGTGGAAGGCAAAAGGGAGCTTATACAAAAAAAGACTCGCTAGTGGCATCAAAGCTACACCTATTGCAGGGCAGCATACACAGAATGCTAAAAAAAAAAAAAACCAAAGGGAAAGGAAGGAGGAAGAGGAAAGGGGAAAAAAGGGGGAAAGGAAAGGAAAAAGAAAAACACTGTATCTATGTTTGCTTGAATAAACACAGATTAGAATTAGAATGATACATTAAAATATTGGTAACATGCTGCCCCAGGAGAGGAACTAGATGGCAGAAAGAGTTGGAAGACTTTTCTCAGTATACTTTTGTTCCTTTTGAATTTTGTACCATGTGAATATATTATTTTTCTAAAGCAAAACAAAACCCCTTTTAATTCCAAAAGCTTTAATGTAAACTAATAACATTGGCCATTTATACATGCAATATATAAATAGTGTGGGGCTTTCTTACTCATTAAAATCATACAGTAACTTTATTCTTGTTAGCAATTCTACTTAAAAATTTCTATCACATGTAATTTGACTATAACAGGAAGTATCATTTGATTTCATTTTTTAAAAAATATATCCATACCAGAATATATTAAAAAAAGAATAAGATGAGATGCTTACTCTCTTGTCTGAACTGTCAATGATTTTTCAGTTTTCTTTTCTTGCTCCAGTGAAGAACTATTAAACAAAAATAACAGAACACTTCTTAATAAATAATTAACTTATATCTTGTCAATTCTATCTGTAGGCAAGAAGTTATTTTAACTTGCATTTTTTAAATGACATTTATTAATAATGGTGTGTCCCAACAGTCAATTCTTAAGCCAAGTATAAATAATCTGTTAGTCCCTAAGTAGGGAATTCTCTTACCCTCTAATTCCTCAGTGAAGGGAGGATCCCAGTCTGAAGGCATGAAGCAACCTAGCTTTCTGGCCCTGCCTTCAACTAGGCTAGCAATTTTCAGCCTTTTTCATCTCAAGGCACTCATAAAGTAATTACTAAAATTCTGCAGCACAACAAAAAATATATTTTTTGCTGAGCTGCCAAAAAAAAATAGGTATCATTTTGATTCATTCACACCGGACAGCTATTGCTGTGTTGGCTTTTGTCATTTTTTTACTTAACAATCTAAGGGAAGAGAGGTCAGTGCCCGTGACTAAATAGTCAGGTATTACATGTTTTAAGAATTCTTGTGGCAAACCAGTTGAAAATTGTTGAACTAGGCCAAAGACTTAGTGAATCTGAAAAAGGCTATATTGAAAATATGCCACTACTACTACACCCACTGGCTAAACCATCAACCACTCAAAAATAAGATTTATCATAAACCCTCTGCCTCCTCAGGCTAACTTTGATTAAAGAAGCTTTGTTCGAGCAGAAGCAGGAGCCACTGGGCAGCGACACCCAAGGTGTTAACTGTCTTGCCTATGATGAAGCCATCATGGTTCAGCAGGACTTAATTCAGCAAGAGATTGCTGTGCAGAACCCTCTGGTCTTGGAGTGGCGGGAGTTCTCGGTCCTGTACAAGGAGTATGCTGAGGATGACAATATCTATCAACAGAAGATCAAGGACCTCCACAAAAAGTACTCATATATCTGCAAGACCAGGCCGGATGGAAATTGCTTCTATTGAGCTTCCCGCTCTCCCACTTGGAGGCGATGCTGGATGATAGCAAGGAACTGCAGAAGTTTAAGGCTGTGTCTGCAAAGAGCAAAGAAGACCTGGTGTCCCAGGGCTTCACTGAGTTCACAATTGAGGATTTCCACATGTTCATGGACCTAATAGAGCAGGTGGAGGAGGAGATCTCAGCAGCTGACCTGCTGGCCTCCTTCAATGACCAGAGCACCTCGGACTGCCTGGTGGTTTACTTGCAGCTGCTCACCTCTGGCTACCTGCAGCAGGAGAGCAAGTTCTTCGAGCTCTTCATCAAGGGTGGGTAGAATGTCAAGGAACTCTGCCAGAAGGAGATGGAGCCCATGTGCAAGGAGAGCAACCACATCTACATCATCACGCTGGCCCAGGCTCTCAATGTCTCCATCCAGGTGGAGTACATGGACCACAGCGAGGTCAACACCACCAACCCGCACATTTTCCCTGAGGGCTCTGAGCCCAAGATCTACCTTCTCTACTGGCCTGGACACTATGACATCCTCAACAGATAGGGCTGCCCTGCTGCCCTCCCTTCTGCCAGGCGCTAGACATGTACAGAGGTTTTTATGTCGGTGTAAATGGTCATATTTCACTCCCCGCCCCCTTCCCTGTCATACAACCTTCCATGTTTTATTAAAAGGGATGCTGGTGGTGAGAAGAAAAAAAGAAAAAAAGGAAAAAAAAAAGGCAGCTTTGTTCTTGGAGGATTTAAAGGTAATGAAAATTAGATAACCCCTTCAGATCAGGTTATAGTGTACAAGAAACAAATTGCAATCATGATTACAGAAGAGTTGTTTAGTCTTACTACATCTTAATTATATAACAAAGAAAACTTATTTTCAATCTCAAAAGTAAAAAGGATCATTTACCATCCCAAGAAAGTAGTTACTTAGAATACCACTAATTTTTGTCGCAAAATTCCACTTAAAAGGACATCAGATGTGCTACAAATTTTGTCAACATGCTTTTGGAAAACATGAAACTGTACTCTACAGATACACTTAAATTACTACATACTCAAAGAAAGTAAAACAGAAATAGTTTACTCACGTCATTGGATTGCTATCTGGCAGGTAATATATGAAGTCTCTCATAGTCATTTTTGAACGATCTGGTGCCCTCTGACTTTCATTTATGGCATATTTGTTTTTCCATTGTTTCTAGATACAAAGAGAGGGGAGGAGAGAGAGAGAGATCCACTTTTATTTTATAAATACAGAAGAATTTCAAATGTACTATATTCAAGTATATAGTCAACTGCTGCATTCATTGCAAGTGCCTCAATACTACTCATACCACAATTATGCCTAATTTTAGGAAAAATGTTATAAACTGAACATTAAAAAGTTGTTGCACATTAAGGAATTTTAAAAATTAAAGTGACTGGGAGTGGACAAAAGCCCAATATACAAAACCATGCTTACTGGTGCCATCTAACAATAATTTACTGAAAATTTATAAATACACAGCTTTTATTTACCCTGCAGTGAATTCTGTGTATTTTATAAAATTCTTGAAGCAAATGTTTAATTTTTAGTTGCCCCAAATAAATCTAATTAAGCATATTCTATAAAACAGAACATTTCAGAGACTTAGGTTTTAGAGGATATGGATTAAAATGTCATATCCTCCACTGATGGGTGACATAAAGAAAATAACCACTCTGAGCTTGTTTCCTCCAGTGTAAAATAGTGATTTTGAGATAACAAATATAAAGCACTAAGCTAAGTGTCTTCTTCTTAATTAAAAAAGAGAATTCTGCAATTAATAGTGAGAGCTGACATTTGTAAAGCTCTCATTATTTGCCAGACACTAATCTCAATGAGTTTTACATGTATTAGCGCATTTAATCTTCATAACCCTTCAAATAGGTAGATACTATCATTAGTCTTATTTTACAGATGAGGAAATACATATAGAAAGGTTAAATTGCCTTAAGTCATATAGTCAGTAAGGGATGAATCTAATATTCAAACCATAAGGAGCTAACTTCAGAGCTTGCATGCTTCACTGCTTTTACATTGCCCTCTAAGAAAAATAATCTTCAAGATCAAAAAGACCATGGACTCTATTACATGCATACATAATAATTTTTCCCATTTATAATTTCCCATATTGTCAATTTAGAAAATATTACTGGTTCTTTTTTGTTCAACTATACCTGTCTTAAATCAAATGAATATAACTCATGTCACTTGGACATCCTCATAAAAAATATAATTAGAAGTTATAAATATACCTAGCCACTGTGGCTCAGTTGGCTGAATGTTGTCCCAAGCAACAAAAGGTTACTGGTCCAATTCCCTGTCAGGGCACAACCCTGGGTTTCGAGCTCAACCCCCAGTAGGGGCTGTGAAGGAGGCAGCCAATCGATGTTTCTCTCTCATAGATGTTTCTCTCTTTCTCTCTCTCTCAAGAAAAAAAGTTATAAATATGTGTATATGTATGTGTGTGTACGAAACTTCTATTTGTGGCGTTCACCAAAAACAATCAAAGATATAGATAAATAAAGCAAATAAAAATTAGTATCATGGAAAAAATAGCTTAAGTCCATAGTGCTTCTTAATCATTCTGTTAAGAATATGGGATACTCTGTTAACATGAGGGATATTATTTGGTTTTGTTCCCCCATAAAAATGCTACGGATGCTTATTTTTCCTCTGAATGATGTCTGACATAAAAACAGCAATCTAGCAGGCAACAGTCAAAATTCTGATTTTTCTCTCTTACCTTCTCTTTTCTTAATTCTTCTTTTAACATTTCTCTCAGTTTCTGGGCTTTATAGATTCGGTATCTGTCTGAGCATGGCTGTTTCTCTTTTGTTGGAATTGGGTGTGGCTGTGGAGCTTCTTGATTAACTGTAGATAAGACTTGAGGCTCTGAAGGAACACTGACACTAGGCTTAACCAGAGTAGGAGTACTTGATACTCTCTTTCTTCTCTGTGAAACAGTAGAGGAAGATTTACTGGATTCTTCAACATCATTCTTACCATCAGTCTTTTCATTACTGTTGAAATTGAAAAATAAAAATAAAAAAGGCATCATGGATTTTCTTTTAAATATTTTAGTTTTAAAAACTAACCTGGTAAAAATCCAAAACAGTAAAGTCTCATTATTTAAAAAAAAAAATCAATGATTTGAGATGTATGTTATGACAGAGGTTGCAATAAAAAGTTTTAGTAAATCATTTTAACAGATATGTAAATTCTAAGCCCCTAAGCGCATCACAGCACATAATTTTATGTTCATGCTAGGTGCCTCAAAAACAAACAAACAAAAAAAAAACCCACCTAACTTATAAAAACAAAGCTTAATTAGCCTGATTTGAATCACTAGATAACTGAGGGGTTTTTTTTAAGTTAAGCTTAAAAAAATAAAGTTAAGGTTATAATCCACACTGACATCCTTCTAAATTGATCTAAATTATTGGCATTTTATTTTAATTATCAACCTGAGATCAGTCAAACCAAACATACATGTCAAACCTCTGAAATATTTGAATTGCAGTATTTGAAGATATACACTTAGCTACGTTAATCAAAATTCTGTTTGAAGCAGAAATCAATTTTCTTTTGTCAGGCACAACTCTACTTATACAGCTACCAAACTCTTCACTCCAAAAAAGTGCTCAGTCACTCCAAATTAGATATTATATGTAGTTCAGATTGGATATAACTATTTCAGGAATGGTCTGAAAGCAAGGTAAGTAAGAAGAGAGGGGGTACAAGTAATGAATTAAAAGCAGTCTACTTTTTTCATATGTTACAGCTAGTTACATATAAAAGTGGAAAATGCCCAAACCTATACTTTTCCAAAAAATCTCCAATTTAAATTCTTACCTCAGCCCTTATAATGTGATACACGTACCACACGCATTTCACCCAATTACGGTGGATGCTGAAGGACAGAACATATACCCCATAGATTTTTACAACTAGCAAGAAAAACACATGATTAAAAAAAAGTATACTACCTAAATGTCTACTGTAAGAATTAAATATCCTCCAGCCTAAATGTGAAGGCTATATAGACTCTTAGTAATATATTATCAATCATCATTCATTATATGTATGTTAACATGATCTGTGTGAACTTCATTAATTTAACAGCAACTGGCATCTGTATCTCTGTTCTGGGGAGGAATTTTGAAACAAATTCATGTAAGAAACTTCAACATTACTAAGCAACACTAAGCTAGCAAAATAACATCCTATATCCAGTACCACTTCAGGTCAACAGAGGAAGAAAACCAAAAAGAAAAGAATAAAAAGCTCACCTTCAAGCCAGAGCATAAACAGAATTTATACCATCTCACTGTTATTTAGTAAGGTTGGTTTTTATTCGTCTCCTCACATATATACTACAGAAACAGAGGCATTAGCCTGCCATGTCTTGACTTTGCTCCATCACCTTTATGTCAAACAAATAACTTTTTGTAAGCAACTACTGTGTCCTGTGCAAGATGGTTTATACAGTTTTTTCTAACCCACACAACAACTCTCCAAAGCAGGTAATATTATCACCATTTTACAGATGAGTAAATTCTGCCTGGGCAAAGTCTACTAAATTGTTAGATTCGGTAGAAGAATTCTGAAACTAAATGGGATACATGACACATGCTTTTCCATGTTAAAGGGGCTTACTCTCAAATCAAAGTAAATAACCAGACCTTTCCACTGACATAAATCAGCAGAACCAAAATAACACTGACCTTTTAAAAATAAATGTTTTGCCTGGCCAGTCATGGATCAGTGGTTGAGCATCCATCTAGGATCCAAGAGATCACAGTTCCATTTCCAGTCAGGGCACATGCCCGGGTTCTAGGCTTGATCAATGACTCTCTTATCATTGATGTTTCTATCTCTCTATCCCTCTCCCATCCTCTCTCTGAAATCAATAAAGACATATTTTTAAAAATAATAATAAATTAAATTTAAAAAATAAAAAATAATAATAATAAATAAATGTTTTGCCCTGGCTAGCGTGGCTCAGTTAGTTGACTGTCCTCCCATCCATTGATTCCCCGCAGGGTACATGCTGAGGTTTTGGGCTCCATACCCAGTAAGGGGCATGCAGGAGGCAACCCATTAATGTTTCCCACACTGATGTTTCTTTCACTCCCTCTCTTTTCCTCGCTCAAAAAAAAAAACCAAAACAATAAATATATATATTTTTTAATATATCTTTATTGATTTCAGAGAGAGGAAGGGAGAGAAGGAGAGAGGGAGAGAGAGAGAGATGGAAACATCAATGATGAGAGAGAGTCATTGATCTGCTGCCTCCTGCATGCCCCCCACTGGGCAGCTAGCGGGAAACTCAGGCATGTGCCCTGACGGGGAATCAAACCAAGATCTCATAGATCCTAGGTTGATGCTCAACCGCTGAGCCACTGCTAGGCATCAATAAATATTTTTAAGTAACAATAGTTTTGGCCCTGGCCAGGTAGCTCAGTTGGTTAAACCGTCCTCCTCATAAGCCAAGGTTGCCTAAATCAAGGTTGTGGGTTCCATCCCCTCAGGGCACATACAGAAGAAACCAATGAGCAGAACCAGTGTGACTCGGGTTGAACTTCTACCTATGAACCGAAAGGTCACTGGTTGACTCCAGGTCAGGGCACAAGCCCGGGTTGTAGGCTTGATCCCCAGTAGGGGGCGTGCAGGAAGCAGCCCATCGATAATTTTTGTCTCTCATCAATGTTTCTATTTCCCTCTCCCTCTCCCTTCCTCTCTCAGAGGACTATGGAGATAGAAACATCAAAAAATGTTTTTATTGATTTCAGAGAGAGGAAGGGAGAGAGAGAGAGGGAGATAGAAACATCAATGATGAGAGCCATAGATCGGCTGCCTCCTGCACGCTCCCTGCTGGGGATCGAGCCGGCAACCCGGGCGTGCGCCCTGACCAGAATCCAACTGAGATCTCCTGGATCATAGGTCCATAGATCCATGCTCACTGCTAAGCCACTCCCGCCAGAAAAAATATACATATTTTTAAAAGAGGCAACCAATGAATGCATAAATAAGTGGAACAATAAATCGATGTTTCTTTCTCTCAAAATCAATAAATAAATATAAATGTTTCAAAAACTACTTACTCCAGAAGAATGAAAACTACGGTAATCTCAATTCTCTAATGAATAACACCACGTGTGGATATTCACCTCAAGACTGTGAATTCCTCCCACAACCACTTGAAGGCATGATTCTCTCCCCCAGAATCTATATCCTCCGGCCTCAACTGTAAGACTTCGTGCCAGCGAGGGAAACACTTCTAAGATAAAGTTCACCTGCTCAGCTGACAGGCCCGGAGAGGCGGAGCAGATGAAAATGTTTCCCTCTTCAAGCACTTACCTGCTCCTGGAAGCCTCTTCTTGCGGCTCTGCTCTTTGGAAATCCACCGGGGGCACATCTGTGGGCTCCACGGGCTTTGGGTCACGGGCCGCTGCCGGTTCCGGAGGCCTGGGAGCCTCCTGTCCACGCTGGGGATTGGTGGCGGTGGAACACCTAGCGCCCACACCAGGCCTGACATTCGGCTTCACGCTAAGGCGTGCCCGGCGGAACATGGCGGAGCCAGGGGGCCCGGGGAGGCGGCCCCACGGCCGCTCTTAGCCCCGAGCCCCGGCCGCTGCCCCAGAGAGGGTTAGGAACTACGCCCTTTCCCCAAAGCCACAAACCAGCCCAGCCGGCAGCTACCGCAGATTCACGCCCCCGCCGCCTCCTGCTGCCCCCCGCCGCCGCCTCTTCTTCATGACCCTGCTACATTAAGAGCTGGATTTTCCCCAACACCTTACTACCCACCCTTAGAGGGCGCCTAAACCAACACGTCATCAGCGAGCGCTGCGGGATGACGTAAGACGCACAGCGCCCGGAGCCATGGTAACTGTCAAACTACAGAGTCTGAGTTACCGATGAACCAGAAATAGAGACGCCAGGCGGTGTGCTCTCCCTTCTCCAGGCGTCCTTAGAAGTTGTTGAAAAGAGCAGAGAAAGGTAGTACACCCCTCAGCCCAGAATTTATGGGAACTACTAAAACCGCTCGCCGATTTTGTTTTTACAGGGTTCTGTAGAGCAGAGACTGTTTAAGAGCACATCCCCAGGGCTTAGAAATTCTAAATTGAGTGGAACATAGGTTAGAAATTCAGGTGTGAAGCAACTGATAGCAGTTACCTCCTAAGAGAGGAACTGGGTTTCTGGGAAATATATCGTGGAAGGAAGAGCATTAACTGTACATACTTGTGTACTTTTTAATGTGAATGTATTGCCTATTCAAAAATTATTATAGTTAAAACTTTGTAAATCAATGTATCCTTAATCTGCTTCAGAAGGTAGCAGTAGAGCCATAAACAAGGCATTCTGGTAGGGAAGAAAAAAATACAACAAACAAATGAACAAGATAACTTAAGAATGCATTTAATGTCATAAAAGAAATATAAAGGATAATATGACAGATTAATAGAAGACTGGCTTACTTTAGGTCGGATGGTTATAGAAGGCCTCCATGATAGAGGAAAATTGGCGAGAGGGGGGGTTAGCTCTACAGAGTATGGGCCAGTGTTTGAACCTGCAATACAAATCCCCTGACTCATGGAAACACAAAGGCCTGATTTCCTTCTTGGAAAGAGAAAAGGATTCTACAAGAACATCCTGCTACATTAATAACAAAATGTCAAAGGAAAAAATCCTGAACTGATTGAAGAGATTGCTAGGTGATCCAGAGGGAGAAAGAGAGTCAAGCGCTTTTGACAGTAGGAAGGCAAGGCTGAAAGCACAGAAGACAAAATATTCCTCCAAGACTGGGAAGGAAATGGAGGTTCGTGGGCTCTGTGGGCTCCCTCCAGTACTCTGGGGAGGCAACAGAACCTCATATACACCTAAAGAAATTAACAGACTTTAGAGTCCGTCTTAAATTTGAATCTCACTTCTACAAGTCCCTATAGCTGTTAGGTCAGGTCCTGCGGTCTGAGTCTCAGTCTCCTCCTGAGTAAACTGAGAATAATGAAGCCAGCCTACCCGGCAGGGTTGGTGCTAGAATAAGCAAGGAAATTAAGGGCCAGACGCTACCTTTGGCAGTTACCCTCAGTCTGTTCTGTCCCATTCACCCCCTTCCCGCCGCTGCAAGGAGGTGAAGAAAGCTTACGTTCTTTGTCGGGAGTTAGATATTATAGCATTTATTGTCATTTTTGTCGTTATCAAAAAATGGGGCCTGGCCAAGCCCCAGTTCCCGGTCCATGGTAGGGGAAGTCCGCACAGGCCTATCCCTCTCTCAGACACGAGGCCTGTTTCGGAACTCTACCTAACTTGCAAAGCAGAAGGAGCCTGGGGTGCCGATTGGGTCCCCCACGCTGCAGCGGCGTAAGTC